GCTAAAATGTGCATTATATTTCAGGTCTTGTCAGAATGGAAGCAGAAGTATGAAGAGTCTCAGTCAGAGCTGGAGAGCGCTCAGAAAGAAGCAAGATCTCTGAGCACTGAGCTCTTCAAACTTAAAAACTCCTATGAAGAGTCTCTTGAGCATCTAGAGACCATGAAGAGGGAGAATAAGAACCTTCAAGGTCAGTTGTTAATCAAGAAAATCTCACATACAAAGTTGAATTACAAACTGGCATTAAGTGATTCTTCCAATAATGTCTTCAGAGGAAATATCTGACCTTACTGAACAAATTGGTGAGGGTGGAAAGAATATCCATGAGCTAGAGAAGATACGGAAGCAGCTGGAGCAAGAAAAGTCTGAGATACAGACAGCTTTAGAGGAGGCAGAGGTATACTGTATATATAAAACCTTCCTTAAAAATATTTGTGTTTGGTTAAAATACAGAAATAATCTAAACTATTATATATCTACAGGCCTCTCTTGAGCATGAGGAAGGGAAGATTCTGAGAGTCCAGCTCGAACTGAACCAAATCAAAGCTGATTTTGAACGTAAGCTGGCTGAAAAAGATGAAGAGATGGAACAAGTAAAGAGAAACCAACAGCGAATGGTGGATACTCTTCAGAGCTCCCTTGAGTCTGAAACCCGCAGCAGGAATGAAGCGCTTCGATTGAAGAAGAAAATGGAGGGAGACCTCAACGAGATGGAGATCCAGCTGAGCCAAGCCAACCGGCAGGCAGCTGAGGCCCAGAAACAACTCAAGTCTGTTCACTCACATCTAAAGGTCAGAGAACAAGAGAAGAAACTAAATGCTGATGGGATTTTCTATATTTATCCGTAACTGATTTATATTCATATTTTCGTTCACTTTCGCCAATTAATTAAAGGATGCTCAACTTCAACTTGATGACTCTCTCAGAGCCAATGATGATATGAAGGAAAACATTGCCATAGTTGAGAGACGCAACAACCTACTTCAGGCTGAACTGGAGGAACTGAGGGCTGCTCTGGAGCAAACTGAACGGAGCCGTAAACTGGCTGAGCAAGAGCTGCTGGATGTTAGCGAGAGGGTGCAGCTACTGCACTCACAGGTAAAATACAGTCTTCATCTATAATACCCATATATTACTATGGGTGTATAGTTACCATATCATGTTTATCTGCTTTATGTTTTTATAGTATAGGGAGACATTAGGTGAGTCCATATATCCTTACTCTGAATTTAGACATTGTTGCATATGCTGTTTGTTTAGCAGCTTTGCAAAATGTTGCAGCAAGGACCAGTTTGACTACAATTATTTATTGATTAGGCCAATATCAGGAACAGTATGAGTACATAATTCAAATAGACAACTAATTAGAATATTACCCCCCAAACTTGGTCTTCCCTGGTATGAATATATATAACAAGATTTAGAACTGCATGAAAAGTAGCTTAAAATGTGTGTCAGTCTCTTTCTATCAATTTGAAAATATGTATAATTTATTAAAAACAGAATACCAGCCTGATAAACCAGAAGAAGAAGCTGGAAGGTGACACGGTCCAGCTGCAGACTGAAGTGGAGGAGGCTGTTCAGGAATGCAGAAATGCTGAAGAGAAGGCCAAGAAAGCCATCACTGATGCTGCCATGATGGCAGAGGAGCTGAAGAAAGAGCAGGACACCAGCGCTCACCTGGAGCGTATGAAGAAGAACATGGAGCAAACCATCAAAGATCTGCAGCACCGTCTGGATGAGGCGGAGCAGATCGCCATGAAGGGAGGCAAGAAGCAGATTCAGAAGCTGGAGGCCAGGGTGAGTTTAAATTCAAAAATCTTTAAAAAATATGAAAAGTAACACTTAATCTTTGAGCTGGTACAAAATTTGACATCTTGCATTCTACAGTTTATTGTAATTACTATGAAATTTTATGTAATTTTCCACCAGATTAGAGAACTGGAAACTGAGGTGGAGTCTGAACAAAGAAAGTCCAGCGACTCCATCAAGGGAATACGCAAATATGAGAGACGTATCAAAGAGCTGACCTACCAGGTGAGTTCAGTTTCATTCATTATGATACAAAATTTTAGAACAGATAGAGAAAGGAAACAAGATGGGACAGCGGACTGATCACAGCTACATTAAGTTATGATCGTACCTATTTTGGCTGACAATAGCCAGTCAATTAAATGATGACACTCAAACCATCATAAACATTTCCAGAGATTAAACCCAATGTATTACCCACAATATTACTTAAAGGTATAGTGGAGGATGTTCTTTTTCGGGGTGGATCACCAAAATAAGTGGTCCTCCTAATTGTCAATCTGGTGAAATGTTTACATAAGGCTGTCCTATTGCTCATCCCCATTTTAACTTACCGGTGGTGAGTCGGACATAGTGGAAAAATTGCAAATCTTCTTTTGGAAAGTAAGCTTGTGTGAGTAATGAAAATGGCAACTTATAAACAGAGCGTGCACGAGGAGAAATGGGCCAGTGCATGCTCTCCACGCGTTTAATAGGGAGCAGGTACAGGGCTTTTTTTTTTTTAAGTGGAGAGGGAGGGTTTTTTCAAAAATTTGTGAAATCCTCTACTGAACCTCAAAATTTATTATAATTCTAGTTAACTTGCTGAGGTACAACCTAAAACAACAACAGAAAACATCACTCAGTATGTGAGTAAATTAAAGTGTTGTACATTTTTCACCAATTCATTTCAGACGGAGGAGGATCGCAAGAACCTTTCCCGCCTGCAAGATCTGGTGGATAAACTACAGCTAAAGGTCAAATCCTACAAGAAAGCTGCAGAGGAGGCTGTAAGTGTTCAAGCTTCATTGATTACTATAATCTGACAGACAATAAGCTTAATATAAGATTTGGTCTTCATACAATACCATTTTAACAAAAACAAAATTGCTTTGAATGAATTGGCCACCTGTTTGATATAATACTAACAAATCTAATATCAAATTTGATTTAAAACACAACATTTGTGTTATTTCAAACCCATATGGTGGCTAATGTAGTATTTTGTTAAACAGGAGGAACAGGCCAACAGTAATCTTACCAAGTTCCGCAAACTTCAACATGAGCTTGATGAGGCTGAGGAGAGAGCTGATATCGCAGAGTCCCAGGTCAACAAGCTGCGGGCCAAGAGTCGTGATGTGGGGTCAAAGGTCAGTTTAAATCAGAATTTTGCTGATACTGGAGCCATCTGTTAAATGTGAAATGAAAAAAAAGCATTCAGCAAAAGGACATCATTTGCATCATTTGTTCTTTACTAAGACACTGCATGTCCTCATATTGTACTGTGTTTGAACTATATCCAAGGCATAGACCATCAAACAAATAAAAAGTTTTCTTTAAAGTTGTGAACATGTGTAACAGAAAACAAAGCAGTCTCAGATCAAATATGAATGTAAATAATGATTTTTTTCCTCTCTTTTCAGAAAGGGCACGATGAAGAGTGAAGTACATTGAAAGAATCTGTTTTCCTGAGGCACTCCATGTCTGAACAATGGTGTCTCCCTATGTAGGTTGTTCAGTAGAATAAAATGAATGTGCATCTCAAACTGTGCCATGACTGTTGTGTTATTTGATTATTTTCTTGGTAGCATTTGGTTTAACAGTGAATATGAGATTACACGGATATTGCAACAACAGCAGATATATTTCTGCATTTTTGGATTTTCTTCAGTTTTATATTTCAACAACACCTATAATGCAAATAAACTTTTCTGTCATCTGGGACATGCATGGCTTTGCATTCACTAGCTCCCTTGGATCTCCTTTACAAAAACAGGTACTTAAAGGGCTATTTAATCACAACAGCATAATTCTGTAGCAGGATAACACAACTATTAATGACAGTTATCAGTAAGGGAGAATTCTTTCCAAAATTATTGAATTATAATTCAATAATTATTTTATCAATTTCTATAAAATAAATAGTGAAGCAGATTTTGTTAAGGCGTAACCTTTTAAAGTCCCTTTTTGTTGAGTACCTTATAATGAGTTGTGCACATTTTCCTGTTTCTACAAGGAATAAATATGAAGTCAGACAGGGTACTTAAATTTACAACATTTTTAGTTTCCTGGAGTTGTCCATATCCACAGTAAGGTGAATAATTAAAAAGTTTTGAACAACTGGCCCTGGTAAAAATAATACTGATTGAGAAATCTAGCTTGCCAGCAAGATTACCATCTTCTTTACAAAGCAATGAGGATTGTGAAGGATTTAAGAAAATAGCTCCTTGGCCCATGATTTTTAGAAATCAACAAAATGTTAATCATTTTGCTCCTACCATTAAATATTTGCTTGTTTGCTTGTGGGAAAGTCTTTAATTCTGCAGCTTTTCCATAATCTGGTACTATCCAGGTATCTCATCTGTAAGTACTCTAGACATATCCTGCAATATATATATATATATATATATATATATATATATAGATATATATATATATATATAGATATAGATATAGATATAGATATAGATATAGATAGATATATAT